GGTCGGAACTGACTTGACAGCATTTGACAACAATATTGTATATGTACGTTGTTGTTGTTGTTATGTGCCGTGGAGTCGGTGCTGACTCCTAACAACCCTGCATAGGGTTTCCAAGGCTGCAAACCTTTATGTGAGCAGAAAGCCTCATCTTTCTCCAGAGGAACAGCTGGTAGTTTCGAACTGCTGACTGTGAGATTACCAGCCTGATTTGTAACCACTACGCTACCAGAGCTTCTTATATGTACATTAATATTTCATTAAAGTTTTAATAACCTCACAAATTCTGTCCCTCTCTCTCTTGCCTTGCTCTAGCCAGCCTTCCTCCACTAAATAGGAAATATAAATGGCCGGGATTATCAAGAAATAGAGGAGTATGTGGGGGACTCCTGATACAGTTACCTACCAACCCAGTGTTAAATCAGAAAAAAAGTGATGAACTTCCATCTCTCCTTTGCTTCTTTTTACCTTTTTCTGTATATGAAGTTCCGTTTAATTCCAAGGATTGCCTTTCTGCATCTCAATTTTTCTAGCTATAAAATAAACATGATAAGGTGGTATCTCTATTAATTACATTAACACACAAATCTATGATTCTTGTCCTTTTGCATGTTATCATAAAGAAGTCTCACTGAAATTTCAAGAATCAGTCTGACTGAATAGTTTTGTTTTATTTTTCGTCTACAGATTCTGGGTTGGTTTGTACAGATTTCTCTAGGACTAAAACATATTCATGACAGGAAGATCTTACACAGGGACATAAAATCACAGGTAACAACGCAGATAGAAGACTAAGAAAAACCTTATCTTTGATTTTCTTGAAATATCTCAAACAGCATAGCATTTTCTCCATTTATAGAACGTTTTTCTTAGCAAGAATGGAATGGTTGCAAAGCTTGGTGACTTTGGCATAGCAAGAGCCCTGAACAAGTGAGTACTTTAAAAAATAATTACTTGTGCCCTATGGTTGTTTAAATGATTATATATTCCTGAGTGTTTTTGTGTACATCCTAAAGAAAAAATAAACAGAGGAAATAGAAGCAAATACTGTTGAATGATGATGTACGGCGGAGATTGTAATCATTACAATGAAACAGTGAGTGTAAAACCAATGTTCTCCTGTGTAAACTATCACTCAATTCACAATAAAAACTTTAATAATAATAGTAATTCTTCCTATTCAAAGCAGCCAACATAGGCATTTTCAGGTATCACAAATTAAGATGATAATAAAAACTTGGTTGTCCAAATAATTGTTGGTAACTACTTGTCTAAGGAGCTCTGGTAGCACAGTGGTTACGAATCAGGCTGCCAACCTCAAGGTCAGCAGTTCGAAACTACCAGCGATTCCGCAGGAGAAAGATGAGGCATTCTGCTCCCGTAAAGATTTACAGCCTTGGAAACCCTGTGCAGGGTCACTATGAGTCGAGCCGACTCCACAGTACTTAACAACAACTTGTATCCAAGTTGCCACTGAGTCAGTTCCGACTCCTGGCGACCCCATATGCATCATAGTAGAATTGTTCTCCAGGGGGTTTTCAACCACTGATTTTTCAGAAGTTTATCAACAGGTCTTTCTTTCAAAGTGCTTCTGACTGAACTTAAGCCTTCAAGCCAAGCGTGTTAACTGTTTGCACCACCTGAGACTCCAACTGTTTATATAAATGCATTAACATCTTTCAGGTGGTATATTGAGATTAAAATCCCCAAGATATATTGTGGCATAAGAGAATTATGGTGACAGTGTCTTGTAGTATATAAGCTTATTAACTGTGTGATGTGACTGAAGTGCAGAAAACTGGTGTGAATTCAGTGAAATAGGTTGGGACATTCTGGTGGGAATAAATTGTTGCAACTGTTTTGGGAGACAATTTGGTGGTAATTTTAACCACCACTCATCTGTCAGTTTATCGTACTGTGGTGGCTTGTGAGTTGCTGTGATTCTGAAAGCTATGTCACTGGTGGCAGAGTCACCCAAGGTGGACAAGTTTCAGATGAGCTTCCAGACTAAGACAGACTAGGAAGAAGGAGTGACGAACTACTTCTGAATATTTAGTCACTGAAAACCTTATGGATAGCAGAGAAACACTGTCAGATATAGTGCCAGAAAATGAGCCCCTCAGGTTGGAAGGCACTCAAAATGTGACTGGGGAAGAGCTGCCTCCTCAAAGTAGATTTGACCATGATGATGCAAATGGAGTAAAATCTGTGGTGGTAAAACCCTCAGGACCTTGATTTGTTGATGAGGCAAAACTCAAAATGAAGAGAAACAGCTGTAAATATTCTTTATTAATCAGAACATGGAATGTACAAAGTATGAATTTAGGAAAATGAGAAATTGTCAAAAATGAAATGGAACGCATAAACGTCAATATCTTAGACATTAGTAAGTTGAAATGGCCACTTTGAATCTGACAACTACATGGTTTACTATGCTGGGAATGACAAATTGAAGAGGAATAGTGTTGCATTCATCGTCAAAAAGAACATATCCAGATCAGTCATGAAGTACAACACTGTCTGTGATAGGATAATATCCATGTGCCTACCGGAAGCCCACTTAATACCACTATTTTTCAAATTTATGCACCAACCACTAAAGCCAGTGAGGATGAAATAGAAGAATTCTACCGACTACTGCAATCTGAAATTGATCAAACATGCAATCAAGATGTATTGATCATTACTGGCGATTGGGATGCAACAGTTAGGAACAAAGAGGAAGGATCAGTAGTTGGAAAATATGGCCTTGGTGATAGAAAAGATGCTGGAGATTGCATGATAGAATTCTGCAAAATCAATGATTTGTTTAGTTCAAATACCTTCTTTAGACAGCATAAACACTATTATACACATGGACCTCACCAGATGGAATACATAGAAATCAAATTGACTACATCTGCGGAAAGAGACGATGGGAAAGCTCCATATCATCAGTTAAATCAAGGCCAGGGGCAGACTGTGGAACAGACCATCAATTACTCATATGCAAATTCAAACTGAAGTGGAAGAATATGAAAACAAGTCCACAAGATCCAAAATATGACCTTGACTGTATCCCACCTGAATTTAGAGATCATTTGAAGAACAGATTTGATACATTAAATACTAAAGACTGAAGACCAGAAGAGTTGTGGAATGACATCAAGAACATCATACATGAAGAAAGCAAAAAGTCATTAAGAAAACAAGAAAGAAGGAAAAGGTCAAAATGGATGTCAGAGGAGACACTGAAACTTGCTCTCCAGCGTAGAGATGCTAAAGCAAATGGAAGAAATGAGGAGGCCCAAGAGCTGAGCAGAAAATTTCAAAGATCAGCTTGAGAAGATAAAATCAATTATTACAACAAAATGTGCAAAGATCTGGAATCAGAAAACCAAAAAGGAAGAACACGTTCAGCTATTTCTCAAGCAAGGAGAACTGAAGAAAAAATTCAAGCCTCGACTTTCGTTATTGAAAGATTCTCTGAGCAAATTATTGATTGATGCAGGAAGAATCGAAAGAAGATGAAAGGAATACACAGAGTCGCTGTACTAAAAGGAAATAGTTAATGTTCAGCTGTTTCAAGAGGTAGCATATGATTAAGAGCCAATGGTACGGAGAGGGAGGAAGTCCAAGGTGCATTGAGGTAATTGGCAAAGAAAAAGGCACCAGGAATTGATGGAATAAAAACTGAAATCATTCAAGAAAGTCAGGCAGCACAGGAGGCACTCACTCATCTATGTCAAGAAATTTGGATGACAACTATCTGGCCGACTGATTGGAAGAGATCTGTATTTGTGCCCATTCCAAAGAGAGGTGACCCAATGGAATGCGGAAATCATCAGACAATCTCTTTGATACCCCATGCGAGTAAACTTTTACTAAAGGTAATACAGAAACAGCTACAAGCATACGTTGACAGAGAACTACCAGAGGTTCAAACCAGATTCAGAATTGGCCGTGGAATGAGGGATAACATTGCTGATGTCCAATGGATCTTGACTGAAAGCAGAGAATATCAGAAAGATGTTTGCCTGTGCTTTATTGACTATGCAAAGGCTTTCGATTTTGTGGATCATGACAAGCTATAGACAACATTGCGAAGTATGAGTATTCTGGAACACTTAATTGTGCTCATGAGGAATTTGTACCTGGACCAAGAGGCAGTTGTTCGAACAGAACATGGGAACAGAATAATGGTTTAAAATTAAGAAAGGTGTGTGACAAGGTTGTATTCTTATGCATTGTGCAACATGCACAGTATACAGCCATTCATGACTTTGAAGACTTCTTAACCATGTGAGAAAATTCTTTATGATGTGATAACTTCAAATTTTGGAATTCTGAATTTTAAATGCAACATAATTCAATTTGTATGCTGAACAAATAATCTGAGAAGCTGGGTTCTATGAAGAAAAACGTGGCATCAGGATTGGAGGAAGGCTCATTAACAACCTGCGATATGCAAATGATACAACATTGCTTGCTGAAAGTGAAGAGGACTTAAAACATTTACTGATGAAGATCAAAGAGCTCGGTATGGATTACATCTCAATGTAAATAAAACAAAAATCCTCACCACTGGACCAATAAACAACATTCTCATCAATGGAGAAAAGATTGAAGTTGTCAAGGACTTAATTCTTCTTGGATCACCTATCAGCATTCATGGAAGCAGCAGTCAAGAATTCAGATGTCGTATTGCATTAGGCAAATATGCTGCACAAGACCTTTTTAAAGTGTTGAAGAGAAAGATGTCAGCGTGAGGTGCGCCTGACCCAAGCCATGATAATTTCAATAACCTCATATGCATACAAAAGCTGGACAGTGAATAAGAAAGACCATAGAAAATTTGGCACGTTTGAGTTATGGTTTTAGAGGAGAATATTGAAAGTGCCATGGACTGCCTAAAGAACCAATAGATCCGTCTTGGAAGAAGTGCAGCCAGAGCACTCCTTGGAGGCCAAGATGGCCAAACTTCATCTCTCATACTTCAGACATATTGTCAGGAGGGACCAGTCACTGGAGAATATCATGTTTGGTAAGGTGGAGGGTCAGAGAAAAATAGGGAGACCCCCAATGAGATGGATTGCCCAAGTGACAGCATTGATGGACTCAAGCAGGGCAACAGTAGTGAGGTTTGCCCAGGATTGGGCAGTGTTTCGTTCTGCTATGCATAAGGTGCTATGAGTCGGTACTAACTCGATGGCACCTAACAACAACAACTTGTATATATCAAGGGATTGTTCAATGTTCTTCTTCTAAGAATTTGTTCTAAGGGAATATTTTGAAATTTGGAGTCACATGAATATTAGTAATTAGAAAATGGTTAAGTATAAATCTTGGCACAGTCATAAATGTACGCATTGTGCAACATGCACAGTATACAGCCATTCATGACTTTGAAGACTTCTTAACCATGTGAGAAAATTCTTTATGATGTGATGAATTCAAATTTTGGAATTCTGAATTTTAAATGCAATATGATTACAGCTAGTGAAAAATATACAGGAAGGACATCAATCAGAATTTTAATAATAGTTGTTCGTAGGTGATAAGACTATGATATTTTTTCTTCTTTCATGTTTTTGATGTTAAGTGTCATTGAGTTGGTTTCGACTCATAGCTAACTTGTAGAGTTTACAAGGAGCAGTGGTGAGCTTGAATCATGGATTTTGTGGTGCAAACCGACTTTACAGTCCAGTGCCTTAACCCACAGTGTATTTTCCAAATTTTAAATAATGAGAATTCATTATTTTGACAATTTGAATCATTTTACCTCTGAGATTTTTTGTTTTTATTGTTAAAGTAACGACTAACTTCTTTAATAGTGCAATCAGCTTAATCTGTGGTGTCATTAAGCCTCAAAAAAAAAATGTCTTTTCAATATATAGATCTTTGGAAGATGAATTCTAAAGTTAAAAACATAACTAGTACACATAACTTTATTTATCACTGTATGATATGTTTTTGTTCTATTTTAATTTGTAAATTTAGATGATCCATTTTTTACATTTATCTTACTTGTCCATATTTATATTACTTTATGATTTAATATATTTTATTAGTTCTATGGAACTTGCTCGAACTTGTGTTGGAACGCCTTATTATCTGTCCCCAGAGATCTGTCAGAATAAACCCTACAACAATAAAACGTAAGTCGATGACTATTGGTATGAAGATGCCAGGAAAATCTAATGGGTGATATTTAATTAAAGATGTAGAAGCGGAAATTCTAATTCCTCCTCTCTTCCATGTGATACTTTTGTGATTTCATTTTCTTCCTGTCTGAGATAGGATCACAGTGAGAGTCTCTGACCACTTCAGTGTGTCCTGGAGCTATTGGCTTTAGTAAACAAATATTTATCTTCATTTAAACAACATTGTTTTGTTGTTCAGTGCCGCTTTTTAAAAATGTAAATCAACATTTAAATATTGAAAGTTAAAAAAAAACATGCAGATATGATGCTTCTGAAAATTGGAAGATCTTGTCAATAATCAGCTTGTCCGCTGCCCTCTTTACATCAGTAAACCATTTTCTGGTTCCCCTCACCACTCAATGGATGGAGTTGACACCATGTGTGTCAGAGTAGAATTATGCTTCAAAGGGTTTTCAGTGGCTGGTTTTTTGGAAGTCCATCAGGAGACCTTTCTTCTAAGTGCACTTTACCCACTAGTCTTTTAGTTAGCAGTCATGTGTTAACTATTTCTACCACCCAGTTACTCCATGGGTTGATAAAAGTTATATTTAGATTCAGCTCCAGTTAGTGGCCTATGAATTCACTACCCTGACTATAGACGATTCTCTGAGAATGCAGGACTTTGGGGTCCATGGAAAACAGAGCAAACATTCTGTGTGGTAGGAAATGGGCAGCGAGTTTCTAGAACTAAAATATGTGATACACAGTTGGAGGTTGCTCCTTGCCTCTTCTGTAATCACCTTCCATTGTTTCTAAACCTTTAGTATAGGTTTCCTCTCTTTCTCTCTCATGCACACCTAAGCATTGATAACTGTGAGGCCATTAGCTTCACTTTACTGAATCCTGCTTGTATTGATATTTTGACTTTTCATTATATTTTCCTTGATCTTTTAGACTTAATTATGCTTTCTGTTCTTTAAAATAACTCCTTATTAACTTAATTGCATATTGTTGTTATTGTTATGTGCAATTGAGTTCCAACTTATAGTGAGCCTGTATAGGGCTTCCAAGGAATGGCTGGTGGATTTGAACTGCCAACTACCAGTCCAGTGCTTATCCTACAGCACCACACCAGGACATCTAAATAATAAGTCTGTGAAGAACAAGGCTTGAGTCATATAAGTACATTTTAAAAATGTTTATTGAATATCAAACATGAATTCATTACAATATAATTTGGATTCTGCAAGAGCTTTAAATAGAATATACCTTTCTAAGCTAATCACAGTTTATATTTTGAATCAAAACAAATCCATGTTTGAATTGTCTTTCTCCTCCCAAATTGCTTAAAATTCTAGATATATATACATTTTATTTGAGCACAATAAGTTGAAGTAAATATTAATCTATCAAAGTATGGCAAAGTATGTATATATTTTCTCTGCTAGGCTTCTGAGTAACTACAAATTTTTTTAAGTTTACCTTTTATCTTAGTAATAAACAAGAATTGAGAATAAGTTTGAATTTGACACTAGTTGTAAAAACCAGCCAACCTATATAAAATTGTAAAGCTACCTAACTGTAAAGCACTGTGAGGATAAAAGCTTTTTATTACAACTTATGGATACTGGCATTTAATCTTTTTTCTTCTCCAGGGATATTTGGTCTCTTGGCTGCGTCTTATATGAGCTCTGCACACTTAAGCATCCAGTAAGTTTGCTAGTTGTTAATCTTGAATTATTAAGATCATATAAATGAAATGAACTTCTGAAAGAAAAAAATAAGATTTGGTTTTATTACACTATTAGCAATTATTTGGACTAACTATTGAAAAGGAATTCTAGAGCTATACATACTGACATGGGCTGATGTACAAACAATATCACAAAATTTTTTCATCTATGTTGATAAAGTATGTGGCACAACATAGTCCATAAAGACAATGCTCTACATCCTACTTTGGTGAGCATCAGTTGATGTCTTAAAAGCTCACAAGTAACCATCTGGGATACAACTATTGGTCTCTTCCTACCCAGTATAAAGAAGAGTAGAGAAAATAAAAAAATTCAAGGGAACGATTAGTCAAAAGAACTAATGGACCATATGAACCACAGCCTCCGCTAGCCTGCGACCAGAATGAGATGGTACCCAGTTGCCACTACCAACTGCTACACTCAGAATCATGCTGCTATCAGAACACTCTGTCCTGGACAGAGTGGGAGAAAAATGTATAACAAAAATTTTAAATCATAAAGAAGACTCAATGGCAGTTGGTCTGGTTTGATTTTGGTAACTGACCTGATAAAGACTGATGGAATCCCTTAGACTGGCCTGTAAACACCCTTCTAACCTGGAACTAAAGCCCCACCTTTCAACCAAATAATAGATAGGCCTGTAAAGTGAACCATGAGGAATGTGCTCCTCAGAACAATCAAACGTATGAGACCAAAAGGACCACATTTGCCCAAAAACAAAGTTCAAAAGACAGGAATGGGAGGAAAGATGGGTGAATGGAAATGGAACCCAAGAAGGTAGTGGGAAGAAACTGTTACATGGAGGGAGTTTTAACTAATACCACAAAACAAATACTTATAAATTGTTCAGTGGAAAATTCATTTTCTCTGTAAACTTTCACCCAAACAATAATAGAATGTTCAAATAGTGTGAGTGAACTGTACATGTAAAAATGGTTGAAATGACATGATAAATGTTTTGTTATATTTATATTACCATAATAAAAGATTAGAATTAAAAATTAATTGTGAATATATATATACACATAATCCATATGCATGTGCACAAGCTATTGTTTTGTTGAACAATAAAGGATAGTGTTCTATAGGTTTTTCTCTAGTGAGGTCTTTGACATTGGTACTGGATAATACACCTCATAGAATGATTTAGGAAATGTTTCTTGTATTATATATTTTTTTCAAGTTTTTGTTGTGACCTGAGTGCAAGTTTACATGGGAGAACATCAGTTTTACATTCATCATTTCATTGCAATGATTACAATCTCCTCCGTGCATCATCATTCAACAATATTTGTTTCTATTACCTCTGCTTTTTTGTTTGTTTGTTTTGGGTTAATGCACCAGACTGCAAAGCCATTTGAACTGCAAGGTCAGCAGTTCAAGCTCACCAGCCACTCCTTGGAAACCCTATACAGGGTCACTATGGGTTGGAGCCAACTCAATGGCACTTAACAACAACAACATCTTTGTTGCCCATCCCTATCTATCCTGTATACAGAGGGGATAGGATTGATACTTGATGTGAAGACTCCTTCCCTCTCAGTTGGTATTTTGAGCTACTACATCCATAAGTATAGGTCAAGTTCATCAAACTGCAGCAATGTACACTGTTTTCCTTTATCAAAAATTGTCGGGTTTTTTTTTTTTTTTTTTTTTTTATCTTCCTCTAGTTGAGTTCTGATTATCAAGCCATTGAGGCTAGGTCAAATGGATACCATCTGCAAGTTTGGGTGTTTTTGTGCATTTCCCCACACTTCATATTAGCCTGATGCTTCACTCTTATATATTCCTGAGTATTTTTGTGCACACACACACACCCAAAACAAACAAACATAGCCCTCTGTGGCTATGTCCTTGTCCGTGGGCTCAGGAGTCCCCAGGTCTCACCACACTTCAGACCAACCAGCCCTTCCTCTTCTTTCTCTCATCTCCAGGTCAACGGGAGTCTATGGAACATGGTTGAACTCAGTCTATTTCTTCATTGATGCCTTTTCCCCTCTTCCACTCATCAGTAGACCAGTGTGGTTGCCAGCGAGTTTACATGTGTGCTCATGTCTTCCCTTTGATTTTCATTCTTGGAGGGGGTTTGTCCTGAAGGGACCCGATTGCTTGCCTGAATAGCTTCCTGGCAAATGACTTGCTTGTTCTTGTAGTAGGCAATCATACTGCCATTTTTGTTTCGGGTTTTTCTTGATGGTCTTTCTTTGAAGATGTATCTTCTGTCACTCTCGCTGTTCCAGGCTGGTCTGTTTGTCCTTTCTAATGGGAATGTCCCACCTCAGAAGGTTCTGGATGGGACTCAGGAGTCCACCTAAGGTCCTATACACTTCAAAGGCTCCGCAAGAGGACTATTTCACTGGGCAAGTTGTAAAACCGCTTTTAGGCATTCCAAACAGTTATAGGTTAAAGATGGACTTACAAGCTTTCTGTAATCATGTTTCCTGATACTCCTTTCTATCCCACTCAAGTTTCTACTTAAGCAGCAGTCAAGAGATTAAGTGACACAATACAATAGGCAAATCTACTGCAAAAGAGTACTGGTGTGGCACTGTAGAAAGAGCATTGGGCTGCTAACTGTGAGACCAATGGTCCAAAGCCATCAGTTGCTCCTTGGAAACCCTATACAAGGTCACTATGAGTTGAAACGAACTCTACGGCACTTAACAACAAGAAAAAATGTTGAAGAGTAAAGATTTCACTTGGAGAATTAAAGTGGTCCTGACCCAAGCCATGATATTTTCAAATGCCTCAGATGCATGCAAAACTTGAACCATGAATAAGGAAGACTTTAGAAGAATCAATGCATTTGAATTATGGTGTTTGCAAGGAATATTGAAAGCACATTGGGCTGGCAGAAAAACGAACAAATCTGTCTTGGAAGAAGTACAACCAGAATGCTCCTTAAAAGCAAAGATGTCCAGACTTTGTTTCATGTACTTTGGACATGTTTTCAGGAGAGATAAGTCCCTGGAAAAGGATATCATGTTTGGTACAGTAGAGGGTCCACGAAAAGGAGGACAACTTTCAAAGAGATGGATTGACATGTGACTACAACAATGGCTTAAACAGAACAGTCGTGAGCATGGCGCAGGACCCAGCAGTGTTTCATTCTGTCGTATGTAGCGTCACTATAAATCAGAACCAACTCGATGGCGCCTAACAACAATAACAACAGCTATTGCTTTGGCAATAAAAAATTAAAACTTAGAAAAGCCTTGGCATACTGTTGAGTAACTGCCTATATTTACTATGAAATATTAGTTGATAAAATAAGTTAAAATATAGGTGCTTCTAACAGAAGCTTAAAAATACTATTTTGCTGCTTTAATTACTAGTATCATTTTTCTCTGATTTAGTATTTTTGTTCCTGTCTTTTCAGTTTGAGGGTAGCAACTTACACCAATTGGTTCTGAAGATTTGTCAAGCACGTTTTGCTCCAATATCTCCAAAGTTTTCTCGGGATCTACAGTCCTTGATGTCTCAGCTATTTAAAATATCTCCCCGAGATCGACCATCTATTAATTCCATTTTGAAAAGGCCCTTTCTAGAGACTCTTATTGCTAAATATTTGTCTCCTGAGGTGAGTTTTGAAGTGATTGTATAGATTTTGACAGAGATCTATACTTAATAGTGGCACATGTTTTCAATTTTAGGTCATACAGGAAGAATTCCATCACACACTTATACATAGAGCAAGATCTTCAGGGTCACGATTTGCTGGAAAGGCAATTCAGGGTAAGAATGATTTATCTATGTAACATAAAAGCATCTATTGCATGTATCCATACAGTGAGTTATAGCTGATGACATTAGTGGAAAGATTCCACCAAATTAATTGAACATCGGCATTTAAAAACTATGGGCAGTGTAAATAAGAGAAAAATTATCAAATGGTAACTAATGGGTGAATTTGAAAAGTTGTCTATCTAGTTCATGGGTGACCTGCAAGAGTCATCCCCCCTCTTCTCATTAGTCAGGAAAACTTCATGAAGCTTCACATTTGTTAGCAAAAGAGGTGCTTGGAGAGGTAGAATCCAAATTTAGGTTTTGTATATAAGGAAAAGATAGAGAGTTGGAGAAGTTTAACAGACAGATTTGGAATTAGAGAAGGAGCTTGTTTTTCATAAGTGGAGAGTATGACTGGTGATTAAGAATTCTCTTGCAAAGCATCGTTGGGTACCCAGTGGAGTTGACGTCAGGATATTGTACCTAACTGGTAACAGTAAGAACCGTTGCCATGTGGCCATCACAAAGGCTGCTCATATTTTTTGGTAATGGTAAGTAGAGAAAACAGTTTGCTGATCATGTCAGGAATCAGCTGTTAAGAATTTTTTTCTTGGGCCAGGTGACAGCTGCTGGAAGAAAGAGAAAATACTAAATCAGTAAAATGTTGTGCAAATAAGATAAGCAGGATTTAGCAATAACGTGATGACTGGACTTAAGGATCAGGAGGAATAAAAAATCATTCTAAGAAACCAGTGATGAGGAAATACTCTCCATTGTGATAGAAAAACTAAAATTGAAGAAAGTGATAGTGGGAAAATGAATGTGCCTTTTTGTAATGTTAATTTGATTTGGTATTGTTATCTATCAGTGTATACCAAGCATGCTCAGAAATTAGATAAGTAGAGGATGAGAGAAAGAGCATTGTCTACATTCCTATTATAGGAAAAATGGAAAACCAAGAAAGCGTTTTGATGGAGCCAAACACAAGCATAATAAAGGACCTACTCATAAAACAACAATGCAATGTGAATGGTGCAGCCCGTTAACTTGAAGTCTGACGACTACATTTAATTAGTTGCACCACTATTCTATGCATATCTTTTCTGCAAATGTTAAGCTTAACTCCTAATTTTTTGTGTGAAAAAAGTAGTGGTATATAATACTAGAAATATGTAAAGTAACACTGGGAAGATATTTTCTCCATTCAAGAAAATGCATAGTAATTTTCCATAAGCCATTCTCTCACTGTGTATAAATGACCAAAGCCATGTCATATATATACAGTGTGGTATGCTGGGCCATAAATTATCGCCTATGTTCATGCTTTCTCAGCATCAGTATTGAAGGTATGGAAGTTTTTAAAAATTGAAGTTGTTTTATTTTGGTTAAATAAGATGCTAAAGTACAGAACGTGAGACTCCAGGAAAAATGCCCACCAAGACCCAGGATATCAGTGCCAATAAAAAGGAAGGACATGTTACACAGAAATGAATGGAGACCACCAGCTGGATCCCAGAAGCCTTTATCTGTAAGTTGTACTAAACCCACCCTCTTAGTCTTTAGCACATGTCCCTGAGTGGTGCAAATGATGACTGTGCTCCCTGCTAACAGAAAAGTTGAACGTTCTGGGAAAATGTCTGGGAAGACTGGCCTGGTGATCTACTTCCAGCTATCAGCTATTGGAAACCCTATTGGGCACCATTCTACTCTGACACACATGGGGTTGCCATACGGCAACTGATTTGATTCTTGTGGATTTCTATTTGTCAGATCTACCAGCACATGCTCATTCATTTATAGTCTGCTAATTTTGTTTTATAGAAAAATCATTTATAAAAAAGGTTATTTTTAAAAGTGTTATTTTATTATCTTGCTAGTATTGACTTGTCGGGGACCGCCTCGACATTGGGGTTCAGTTCACGAGGAGAGGATACCTGACGGCGATTCATATATATCAAGAATACACAGAAAGAGAGAGACAAAGAGGCACCCCAAAGCCAGGGTGGATACATCACTGATAGGCAAGCTTGGGACTATAGGCATCGTGGCCTCTGCAGGCAGCAACTCACTGCCCTGCAATCTTTACTGCATGCCTTCCAACCTGTAATGCACTGATCTTTACTCCATGCCTGCCAACTAGTAATGCACTGATCTTTACTCCATGCTTGCCAACCAGTAATGCCCACCTGGGGAGGCCCAGGCCTCTGCTTTATTCAGGGGAGGAGCTTCACACCAAGCTGGGAGGGACTTTAGGCAAGGTACAGCTAACATCAGTACTTTTCCAGACATTCAGGTAACTTTACATAGTATTTCACTGGTTCGAATCCCAGGCCAGCAACTTGGATTCTCAGGCCCAATTAACATATCTATAGCCCCTGAGCATAGTTGGGGGAAGGTGAGAGATAAGGACAAAAGCTTGGGCGGAGTCCTGCTGCTTTGGCTTCCTGAGCCAGGTCTGCAGGAGGACTCCAGACGCCCAGGTGAATGGGCTGCACCTGGAAAAGGATTAGGGAGGATGGGTTCTTTGTCTATGGAACAAAGAGCTGTGAAGTAGCTAAGACATTTTTAGTTAATCCTTTGGAGAAAGGCTTAACCTTGCAACCTTTAGTCTTGGCTTTAGGAAAATACCATATTTATCTGTGGATTGTCAAAGGCTCCAGTGTATTAATTTAATATATATACCTGAATATTAATATGAAAGCAATTTTCCATTAACTGCCAGTGGCCTCATTTGTTACACTCGGCCCTAGAGGGCCTCGAACCTCTGACTAGTCTTACACGGTCTGCAACATTGACTATGTTAGCTTTTTTTCTCACTTGTTCTCTCTCTCTTTATAGCCAAGTTTTCTGTTGTTATGGCTAGGTGACATTGAGTCAATTCTGACTCACATTGGACCCATGTGACAGAGTAGAACTGCCCCATAGGGCTTTCTAGGCTGTCGCTTATAATGGGGACTAGTCACTGGGCCTTTTTGCCATGGTGTTGCTGGGCAAGTTTAAACTGCCAACCTTTTGTCTAGTAGCCAAGCACCACCAGGGCTCCTTACAAAGTTTTCCAGTTTCTTTAAATAATAAGGTTTTTCTGTATAGGCCAAGTAAGTGGTACAGTAGCAGAAGACACTCAGTACTAAATTCTCATGTATTATGTACTCCTATGGAGTCCTGGTGTGGCGCTGTGGGTTAATGTGATAGACTTCAAAGCATCTGAACTGCAAGGTCGGCAGTTCAAGCGCACTAGCTGCTCCTTGAAAACACTGTACAGGGTTGTTATGGGTCAGAACGGACTCAACGGTACATAACAATAACAATAATCATTCAGAGAATTTTAATTATATAATTAATATCACTATTCATTTTATTTAGATGTTTTAATCCATTTCAGCAGAATGCTGAATCTTTTAGTTCATGCTAATGAGATGCTTCTAGTATGTAAATGATAAAATGACAAAAATCCTTTCATTGAAGAATTCTATTTCTAAAGAAGGTCCATGGCATGATTAGAGGACCACTTGAAAGTATCTTCACTGCTTATTTGATATACACATATTTCAGAAAATATTTTGGTTTATAAATAGTGGTAAAAATTATTGGTTGAATTAATTGCTCGTCATTTAATAAAATAAAATTTTACTTTTTGAAAGGAATGAGAAAAGTAACTTGTGACTCAGATCCTTCTGTTGCAGACTGACAAGGGTTGAAAAAAACAACAAACTACTCGAGGGTGGATTAAGTTAGCACTGTTGAGCAAGCTGACATCTTTCTTAATCCTTTCAGATTGAGGATGAAATAGGTGGTTACCCACAGGAACCCCTCTGATGTTCCCATTACCACTTGTGATTTTAAAGAACTGCTAAAGAAATGATTTATTTCCTTCCAATACTTTTCTCTTTTTTGAACTATATTTCAACAAGTAATTACTGGCTACTTCCTTTATGAGTCTCATAAAGGTAAGATTGTAAAATTTAGAAAAATACTTCACACTTTAAAAGATTTTAAAAAACAGATTGTAACTGATGTTGAGATTAATAAACCAAAGTTTATACATTTATTTTACTATTCAAATACCACCGTATGAAAGTGCCATGTTCAGTAAGTTAAAGAGACAACTGACATTTCGTATGTTCAATCTAAAATAGGAGCTACATAGCATGTGACAAAGAATATTCTGTGAACAAAGACTATGTGAATATTCATTATGAGAGCAAAGTAGATGGCCTGCCACTTCTTTGTGAGGAAATTTGAGTTTTAACAATTTGTTGGGCTGTTCATACAAGTACTAGTTCCTGTATCTTTGAAGCGGTTTGACCATTTTCTCTTTTATTATCAATTGTGAAGTTTTGTCAGAATTGTCACATTTAATGTGACAATTGAGCTTTCTTTGCTATTTAGTAAGAACAAGAGTTTGACTGGTTTTCATAACTTAATTTTGGTCTGATTCTTGTCTTCTAGCTCAGAGGCGATTACTCAAACTTTACTGAAACACTGGGTTATTTTTTTTCCTTTTCTTTTTTTTTTTTTTATTGTGGCAAAAATACTGTGGAAAAGATTAAACATTTTCCAGAACATTTTTTACATGTACAGTTCACAGACATCAATTGAACTAATCATTTTTTTGTTCAGTCATTATCACTATATGTTTCCAAAATTTCCCCTGCTCTCTGGTAACCATTAATAAATTTTAGTCTCTAACTACTGCCAGATTTTTGTCTCTGTTATCCTCTGCTGTTTGGAAGGGTGGTGAAGCATAGCCATCATAGATTGGGAGGTCAATATACCTATCACAACTGTTAAATGACTTTCTGTCTGAAACTGGGTTTTCTAGAGAAACAAAACCAGTGAAGCACATATATACAGAGAAGTTTATTATCAAAGATATGGCTTACAATTTCAGAGTCCCAGGTCCCCATTGGAAGAGAGAGAGAAAGAGAGTCCCTCTCAGTATGTCCATTATATTGGGAGTAGGCCACATTCCCAAGGAAGCATCCCTTCAAGTGACTGGCTGCTCATAGGAACTCATTATAGAGTTAACTATGCCTATATTAGGTTTTGCCACCATTGGAATAAGCACATCGCAACTGTTAAACTGTTAAACCTCTGGAAATCCTGGTCTAGTCAAGTTGACACAAAATTCTAACCGTTACACCTCCCTTGTGTTTTCTCTGGGAGAATGACTCTGAACGACTTGCCATCTTCTTTTCTACAAATCATGATGCCATTTTGCACTTAGCCAAATTATCATGAACTGAGAATGTTGCAAATTTTCAAATTTGTGAAGTATACAATAGCATGTATTCTCCCATAAAGTGTGGTGGTATTGGTGATTGTGTGCCACTGAGTCAGTTCTGATTCATAGTGGCCCTGTATAGGGTTTCCGAGATCGTAAATTTTTATGGGGTTAGAAAGCCTCATCTTTCTCCCATGGAAATGCTGGTAGACTCAAACTACTGACTTTGTGGTTAGCAGCTCAGCTCACCAGCTCAGCTCATACTCCGCTACATTCCCAGGACTCCTTGTTGTTATTGTTAAGTTCCTTAGAGCTATTTCTGACTCATACCGACCCTGTATAGGGTTTCCAAGGAGTGACTAGTATGTTTGAACCACCAATCTTGTGGTTCAAACTGACCCTTTGGTCCTGCATTATCCTGTAGTGCCACAGCAGGACTCTGTAAAGTGTGTTGTTGTTGTTAAGTGCCATTGAGTCAGTTCCAACTCATAGCAACCTTGTACAGAGTTTCCAAGGAGCAACTAGTGGGTTTGAACTGCCAACCTTGTGGTTCGCAGTCCAGTGCTGCTCCTACAGCACCACACCAGGAGTCCCCATGAAGTGTGTTGTTATTGTTATGAGCCATCAAGTCGGTTCTGACCCTAATGACCCTGTATAGGGTTTCCAAGGAACAGCTGGTGAGCTTGAACCATGGACCTTGAGGTTCAAACCAACTTTGCAATCCAATGCATAAGTTTTTTTATGGAATAAATATTTTTATGGAAAATAGAAAACAATAATTATTTTCAGATCTTGGGTTGGCTAGACATACTCAACAGCTAAATCTTCTTCACATTCTATCCTTAAATTATGCATGGTTCACACCCACACCTTAACAAATAAACTACTGTATTATAGTACTTAAGCGACTATATTACTTCGGCAGTTCAAACCTCACCAGCCACTCCTCAGAAATCCTATGCTGGGTAGCTATCAGTCTGAATTGACTTGACGGCACATAACAACAACAACAACTGTATTAACAATACTTAAACTACTGTACTACCAAAATTACTGTACTACAGTACTTAACAACAACAACAACAGTATTTAAAGGAGTCCTAGTGTGGCGCTGTAGGATAAGCACGGGATCGCAAGGTCAGTTTGAATTGTAAGGTCGGAGGTTCAAACTCAACAGTCACTCCTCTGAAACCCTATAAACTCGACAGCACTTAACAACAGCAGTACAGTACTTAAAAGGAGCCCTGGTAGCATAGTGAGTTATGAGTTGGCTGCTAACCACAAGGTCAGCAGTTCAAATCTACCAGTCACTCTGCAGGAGAAAGATGAGGCTTCTGTTCCCATAAAGATTTTACAGCCTTGGAAACTCTATAAGGGGTCACTTTGAGCTGGAACCGACTTGAAGGCACAAACGAGTACATAAATAATTATATATCTAAGTACTTAGATGTCTAAGGTCCTTTTTTGATTTTATGATTTGGGGGCTTGTGGTAGAGCAACATTATGAAGTCTGCTTGAAGTAAAAGCAACTGAGTCTTAATGGAAAACACAGATGGCCTGGATGGGGAAGTCCTCCAAATTTAGAGTGACAGTGGGTACTCTGCTGGACAGTGAGAAAGCTGGACATTTTTGTACAGTTATAAAACTGTATAATGTGTACAGTTAGAGTAGGAACTAAAAGTTACAAAATCATCAAAGGCGGGATACTGAAAGTGGGGATTTAGCAGAGATAGGTGGATAACATTGATGTGGGATTTACATAATTGGTTGTTGGTTTTCAGTACCTTTGAGTCAGTTCTAATTCATAACAACCCTGTGTAGGGTTTCCCAGGAGCACCTGGTGGGTTTGAACTGCCAACCATGTGGTTTGCAGTCCAGTGCTGATCATACAGTGCCACACATAATTGATTAAGGGTACATAATCACAAGCGTATGACTTCAGTTTATTACGGGATGTTTACAGAACAAAGGCAGAACAGGTTTTTCAGGTAACCTGATATAAAAAATGTGTGTTTCTGGGTGGCCATTGTAAAGATTTTTTGTGTATAAGCTGTCACCTGTTGTGTCTGTTTACCCATAGTGCAGAACTCATCTGGGAACACAGTGTGATGCTCTGCACCTGTAAAAAGCCAGATCTCCATTAGGGGACATAGTTGGGTCAGCATCAAGGTTAGAGGCACTGCTGCTAGAAAAGGCAGGCTTTATAATTCAGCATGGATTTGAGACTCATTTCAAGACTTTAAAATGGAGTTAAGGCTCTGCTTTCAGATGGCTTTATTTACACAAACCAAGTGCCTCTCTCTGATTTTAAGTTCTCGTATAGGCTCTAAAGTCATTTTACTCTGAAAACAAATGTAGAATAAAAACAACAAAAATACACATACCTTCAATGCTTTGTTTTACTATATTGTTGTTGTTGTTGAGTGCCATCGAGTCGGTACCAACCCATAACAACCCTGTAGAGGGTTTCCAAGGAGTGGCTGGTGAGCTTGAACCACCAACTTTGCAGTTCAAACTGACTTTGCAGTACAGCGTATTAGCCCATAGCGCCACACCAGGACTCTTCTATGGTTTCTATCAAATTGTTAGTTATTATAGATTTATATTATGTATTTTAAAAAATCTTCCTCAGGTAAAAATGGTAGAAAGACCCAAACTTGCTGCAGTGTGTGGACATTATGATTATTATTATGCTCAACTTGACTTTTTGAGAAAGAGAGCCTGTGAACCAACTTATCACCACGCCCCTCAAAAAGATGCCAGAGTTGGGAACTATAACCAGGAAGAAAGCCACAGCCCATCGCCAGGCCAACGGTAATGTCATGGTCTAAATTAAACTTCGGTACTCTGGAAATATCTTTACATACCAACACTTTTTATCCTGAAATCCTTCCAAGTCCTCTAAATTCTAAATCCTTCTAAATTCTCTTAAAATAAATCATGCAGGAAGAATGTCTATATTGTTTAGTTTACACACTTTATTCACAGTGCCTTGGTCCTTTTTCATATCAACTCTCTTGTAATTTATTTTCTGATTTATGTAGACTTTTACCTTTGAACACAGAGTCAGAGTTTTGAATTTTTAATATTTTATCTTCTTCTTGACAAATTCCACTATCTGGAAATGATCAAAATAGTTGTATATGTTTCATTTTCCAAATAGCTTATTAATATAACTAATATTAATCATTAAAATTACATTTTTAAATAAGATGATCACTTGAGATATTTAAAATTTTTAAATATAATATTTTATTCAACATTTATATTCTTGGAATTTTCAGAATATGGATGTATTAGAAAATATAGTTAAACTGCTCCCATGGTGGTGGTGGTGATGTGCCCTGGAGTCGGTTCCGATTCATAGCGACCCTGTACAGGGTTTCCGAGGCTGTAAATCTTTACGGGAGCAGAAAGCCTCATCTTTCTCCTGCAGAACAGCTGGTAGTTTCAAACTGTTGACTGTGAGGTTCGCAGCCCAATTCGTAACCACTTGGCTACCAAAGCTCCTTACACCTATGGTAGGTTTCCTAAAGGTTTATTCCGTAAAAAATTTCTGCATATCTGTTGCATTGTCAATTGTTTTTCTCACACTGTCAGTGTTCCTGAGTTTAAAATAATTGACACCAACTCACCTACAGTCCTGAAGACCTATAGCTGAAGGTCATTTCATAAAAATGTTTTTACCATCACAATTTCTTCTTTCAGGTTTGGGAACTTGATGACTGTCGCTCTTTACTGTTGAAGTTTTAGATGGATCATAAAAAATACAAAAACTATGTGAGGATGAATCATCAGCTAGCCAATGAAGTTTAGATAAGCAAGAGTAATACAAGAATAATTTCCTCAGAAATGCATATGGGAAACACAGAAGTTTTAAATTTAAAGATATTGGTCTCTACTTACAGCTTTATACAACTTCATAATTCATGTTAAATTACCCTTGTTGTTGTTAAGTGCTATCGAGTCAGTTCTGACCCATAGCGACCCTGTATAGGGTTTCCGAGGAGCTGCTGGTGAACTTGAACCGCTGACCTTGCAGTTCAAACAGCTTTGCAGTGTGTCGCATTAACCCACAGCACCACACCAGGACTCCAAATTACCCTTATAATCATTAAAAGCTATGTAGCCTATTAATTCAAATCATAGTATCCACATGTTGTTGTTTTTAGATGCCATCAAGTCAACTTCAACTCACTGCACAACAGAACAAAACACTACCAGATCCTGTGCCAACCTCACAATTGTTACTCTTGTACCCATTGCTGCTGCCACTGTGTTGATCCATCTCATTGGAGGGCTTCCTCTTTTTCACCAACCCTCAACTTTACCAAACATGATGTTCTTCTCTAGGGATTGGTACCTCCTGAAAATATGTCTGTAGTATGAGTGACAAAATCCCGCCATCCTGGTGTCTAAGGAGTATTCTGGCTGTACTTCTTCCAGCATAGATTTGTTTGTTCATGGCAGTCCATAATACTTTTAATATTATTCTCCAACACCATAACTCAAATGCATCAATTGTCCTACAGTTTTCCCTATTCATTGTCCAAATTTCACATGCATATGAGACCATTGAAAATACCATGGCCTAGTCCTCAAACTGATATCTTTGCTCTTAAACACTTTAAAGACATCTTGTGCAGATTTAACCTAATGCAATACGTTGTTTTATTTCTTGACTGCTGCTTCCCTGAGATTGGTAGTAGATCCAAGCAAAATGAAATCTTTGAACAACTTCAATCTTTTCTCTATTTATCATGATATTATTTACTGGTCAAGTTGTGAGGATTTTTTGTTTTCTTTGCATTGAGGTGCAATCCATACTTGAGGCTGTGGTTCTTTATCTTATCAATAAGTATTTTAAGTCCTCTTCACTTCCAGCAAGCAAGATTCTATCATCTGCATATTGCAGGTTGTTAATGACTCTTCCTACAATCCTGATGCCACATTCTTCTTCCTATAATCCAGCTTCTCTGATTATTTCCTCAGCATACAGATTGAATAAGTATGGTGAAAGAATATAGCCCTGGTGTGCACCATTTCTGATTTTAAACCATTCATTGTTCTATTTGAATGACTGCCTCTTGGTGTATGTACAGGCTCTTCATGACCGCAATTAAGTGTTCTGGAATACCCATCTTCACAATGTTCTCCATAGATTGTCATGATCCACACAATCGAAAGCCTTTGCATAGTCAGTAAAGCACCTCTTTCTGGTATTTTTTGCTTCCAGCCAAGAGCCATCTGACATCAGCAATTATATTCCTAGTTTCACATCCTCTTATGAATCCAGCTTGATTCAGAAGAATCTCTCTGTAAATGCACTGTTGCAGCCATTTTTGAATTATCTTCAGCAAACTTTTACTTGCATGTGATATTAATGATATTCTTCGAAGATGTATGCATTCTGTTGGGTCACCTCTCTTTGGAATGGGCACAAATATGGATCTCTCCCAATCAGTTGGCCAGGTAGCAATCTTCCAACTGTCTTGGCAGAGATGAGTGAGTGCCTCCTGTGCCGCCTCAGATTGTTGAAATAGTTCAGTTAGTATTCCATCAATTTTTGGAGACTTGTTCTTTGCCAGTGTCTTCAGTGCACCTTGATCTTATGCTATCTCTTGAAATGGTTGAACATTGAGCGTTTCTTTCTGGTACCATGAGTCCATTTATACCTTCTATCTTCTTTTGATGCTTTCTGCATCATTCAATATTTTGCCTATAGAATTCTTCGGTATTGTATGTCTAGGTTTTAATTTTTGTCTTTAGTTATTTCAGCTTGAGAAATGCTGGGACTGTTCTTCCCTTTTGTGACTCCTGGTCTTTGTCAATTTCATTATAATACTTGACTTTGTCTCCTCAAGCTGCCCTTTGACATTTTCTGTTCAGCATTTTTACCTCCTCATTTCGTCCATTCACTGTAGCATCTGTGTTCTGGAGAGCAAGTTTCAGAGTCTCTTCTAATATCCATTTTGATCTTTTCTTTCTCTCCTGTCTTTTTAATTACCTTTTGCTTTCTTCCTGTATGATGTTCTTGATGTCATCCTACAACTTTTCTGGTTTCCAGTTAATAGTGTCTAATGTATCAAATCTGTTCTCTAAATTCAGGTGGTATATGTTCTAGGTCGGATTTTGGCTATCATGAACTTGTCTTAATTTTCTTCATCTTCAACCTGAACTTGCATATGGACAATTGATGGTCTTTTCCACAGTCCACATACGTTTCAGTTAGTGAATGACATATAATTTACATATAAACAAAACTCCCTCACCCATCTCTCAGTCACTGAGAAATGTATCTTCCACTCTTTACCTAGATATAATGGTCAGACTGTTTGATTATATCTGATTTTATCTTCCAACCCTCACATAAAATGTTAGAAAGGGCCTTCTCTTCCCTGAATGCTGCTACCCATCATAGTCCCCATCATGCTTCATCCAGGACTCTCATCCTCCTTGGATGACCCTTCTCCACTGGTCTATAACTAACATCACCCCAACTTCCAACCCCACTTTCTTACTGCTGGAGCCTTGATTTCAGGATATGAGAATCAAGCTTTAATATCCTTTCTTGGAAGCAGAGAAATCTATGCAGAGATGTAGTGAGAGTGAGAGAGAATGTCTTTTGGACAGCTCCTGATGACTCAATAGTTTTTTTCATAGAGATATTTGTTACATGTGGCAGTTAGATTTTGGGAGAATTTAGTTCTTCACTTAGTCTCATTTGACCCAAGTACTTTTCTATGTGTCAGACACTAGCCAGATATCTTCACAGACCTAATCTCTTCCAGTCCTTATCCCTGAAGGATAATGATACTGTGCCCATTTTACAATTGAGGAACTAAAGCTCAGAGACCTCAACTAACTTGCCATTCAAAGTGTTTCTAAAACAACTAACTTATAAATTGCAGTTATGCAATTGACTACAGTTGCCTATTTGTGAACCGGGGACTGCTCATCATGATCCTAAAGGAGGGATTTTTTATATGAAAGTTCTGTCTCTGGGGCCATGGAAGTTACTGATATTGCTCAAAGCTTTGTAACGTAGTTTCTACTATGATCTGAAGTGTGGTCGTTTTCACTTGTTGTTGTTGTTTAGTGTTGTCAAGTCAGTTCTGAGATTGTAAATCTTTTGCAGGAGCAGAAAGCCTTTTTCTCTTAGAGCGGCTGGTGGGTTCAAACCACCTACCTTGTGGTTCACAGTCCAGTGCTCCTCAGTAATTACAGACATTATTGGCAGGAAATGCTGCAATAAAAAATGAAAAGATAGACAGACAGATAGATAGAATCTAGATATAAAACTGAAAATGGTTTGACCATAATTGTGCAGACAAAATACCTTAACCAATTTTTTGGGTGTTTTTGAGAGACCACTCATTGATTCATTAAGCACCAATGTGCTAGAAGAAGAAAACAAGTAGGATCCCATCCTGCTTCAGAGAGCCCAGTGTACTTCCATAATGCAGAAAACAGATAAGCAGCATTCAGTTAAATAAGACGGGGCATAGATGCTCAAAGCATGAGAACGTCTGGGATGTGGGTTATATTTTCCAATGTATTTTAGACCATAGAAGGACTAGTACCTGCCTGGAAGAAAAATCGCTGAAGCAGAATATTTTCCTGTTTCTTCCCATCTTGTATCCTTCATTATTATTCTTCTCTTTAACTCCTTTCCTTTTGATTCCAAAGATTTTCTTTTCCAATGTGAATATTTTGTAACTTTAAACTCCTTTTTAAGCTTGGTACTTAAAACTATGAATGAATTGTGAATCCCATTACTAAGCTGAGGGTTGCTGTGTGTCAGTATTGACTCGCTGGTACTTAACAACAATTACTAAGCTAAAAATCCAAGGTCCAAAACTAGTTTAAATTTCTATTCAAGCTGAACATTCTTGTTTTATAAGGTCTGCTGAATACTTGCAGAGGAAATTTGAAGCTCAACAATATAAGTTGAAAGTGGAAAAACAATTGGTAAGTAAAAAACCAAATGTGGAAGGAAATCAGTAGCTTTTTTAAAGTTTTTCTCTTCACAGATATTCATGGATCATTAAAACAAAGTTTATTCCAGACAAGTCAGACATTACTCTCTTCTTACCCCTAGGTTGTTTTTGTTTTTGTTTTTTAATTGTTGTAAAACACACAGTTGACCCTTGAACAACATTGTGTGTGAGCAGTTCGTGTCTCCAGTAATTGCTAGCCGCTCACTCTTCCATCTCTCCCTAACTGGAGAGACGAAGTGCTCTACCAGAGATGATTAGTGTCACACCGCGTTTTAAATGAATACTTGTAACACTTTAGTTTACATCAATAGCAATAGGGGGGAAATCCATTTATAAGTGGGCTGGTACAGTTCAAGCCAGTATTCTTAAGGGCGGTGGTATGATGTGGAGTTAGTTCCAACTCGTAGTGGCCCTGTTTAGGGTTTTGGAGGTTGTAAATCTTTATGGGAGCCAAAAGCCTCATCTTTCTTCTGCGGGATGGCTGGCAGTTACTGACTACAGGTTAGCAGCCTGATTTGTAACCACTAAGCTACCAGAGCTCCTTGTTCTTAAAGGTTGTGATTGTTGTTAAATGCCATCGGGTCAATCCCGACCCATAGCAACCCTATATAGGGTTTCTGAGGAGCAGCTGGTAAGCTTGAACCGCCGACCTTGCACTTCAAATGGCTTTGCAGTCTGGTGCATTAACCCACAACGCTACACCACGACTCCGTTCTTAAGGGTAGGCTGCCTATTGAAAAGTTTCTTCTTTCAACCAGTCTTAAGTGTCATTAATCACATTCACCATGTGATTCAACCATCACCACTATTCATTTCCAGTAAAAAATGTTATCACCCCAAGCAGAAACCTTGTATCCCCTAGGCTAGGTAGTAATTTCCCATTCCCCTCTTCCTCTGTCCCCTGGTAATTACTGATTGTCTTTATGCATTTCCTGTTCTAGATATTTCATATTAGCGGAATCATACAGAATTGATCTTTTTATGGCTAATGTGTTTCACTTAGAATGTCTTAGAAGTTTATCCATATTGTAGCATATATCAAAACTACATCTCTCTTACAGGTGAGAAACATTCCTTTGTATGGATGCAGCACATTTTCTGCATCCATTCATCTGTTGGTGGACACTTAGGGGATTTCCATCATTTCGCTATTGTAATAATGTCATGATGATCAATGGTGTAAGAATGTCTATCTGCTTTCAATTCTTTGGGGGTATGTAACTATGAGAGGGGATCACCATAGCACTGTAAGATAAGCACTGCTAACCACAAGGTCCTGGTTTGAAGCCCACCAGCTGATCTAAGGACTTTCTGCTCCATGAAGATTTACAAGCCTCGGAAACCCTGTACAAGGTTGCTGTGAGTCGGAACCAGCTCAATACCACTAAACAACTATGAATGGAATTGCTGGGTCATGTGGTAATTCTGTGTTTAACTTTTTCAGGGACCAATAAAATGTTATCCACAGTGGCTGCACCACTTTACAATCCACCAGCAATGGATAAGTGTTGTGATTTTTCCATACCCTCAACAACACTTGTCATTTTCTGGTTTTGGTGTGGCGCTGTGGGTTAATGCACTGGACTGCAAAGTTGTTTGAACTGCAAGGTCGGTGATTCAAGTTCACCAGATGCTCCTTGGAAACCATATACAGGGTCGCTGTTGGTCATAATTGACTCGATGGCATTTAACAACAACAACAAGTGGATGTGAAGTGATATCTCTTTGTGATTTTGATTTGTTGTTGTGTGCTATTGAGTTGGTTCTGACTCAGTGACTATAGGTTTTCTGAGGACAGCTGGTGGGTTTGAACTGCTGACCTTACAATTAGCGTGGTTAGCAGCCCAGAGCTTTTCTTAATGCACCATATTTTATACCTCCCTAAATGTGTGTCACATTGTAGGATAAGTACTGAACTACTAGCCATACGGTTGGAAATTCAAATTCACCAGCCTCTCCTCTGAAACCATATACAGGCTCACTATGAATTGGAAACAGCTCCATGGCATTTGACAACAGCAACAAATGACTAATGACCCCACCAGCTGCTCCGCAGGAAAGTAATAAGGCTTTTACAGCCTCAGAAACTATATTCCGGGTTACTATGGGTGGGAACTGACTCGAAGGCACTTAACAACAGCACTGACCAATGATGTTGAGCATATGTTCATGTGCTTGTTTGTCATTTGCATCTTCTCTATAGAAATGTCTTCTTTATAGAAATGTTCTTGGCCCATTTTTAAAGTTGGGCTGTTGGTCTTTTTTGTTGAATTGTGTAAATTCCTTATATATTCTGAATAGTGAACCCTTACCAGATATTTTTTCTCACATTCTGTAATAGCCTCTTTACTTTTTTGTAGGAAAGTCCTTTGATGCACAAAAGTTCTTAATTTGGATGTAATCTGTTTTGTGTATTTTGTTTTCTGAATCATAGTTAATAATCCACTGGTGAAAACTAGATCCCAAAGCACTGCCTCATGTTTTATGTGTTAGGGTTTTAGTTCTTGTATTTAGATCCTTGGTCCATTTTGAGTTAATTTTCATATGTGGCATGGAGTACAGGTTCAACTTCATTTTTTGCAGGTAGAGCTCCTGTTGTCCCAACACCATTTATTGAAGCAGTTCTCTTTCCATTGGATGGATGCAACACTTTTGCCAAACATCAGTTAAGCCTAAATGTTTATTTCTGCGTTCTCAATTCAATTCCATTAGTGTCTATGTCGGTCATTATACCAGTGCCACACTCTTCTGGTTACTTTAGCTTTATAATACATATTTAAAATAATATTTTATTGTTTTGATATTTAAAGTTTACATAGTAAAATAGGTGCTCATTTGACACTTTCTATACTTGCTGTTCAGCGATATTGGTTACATATTTTCACAGCTTGTCAGCATTCTTGGTATTTCCATTCCGAGTTTCTGTTTCCGTTAATCTTGCTTCCCTGCCCCCATGTCCTGACCATCTCATCTTTGCTTTAGGGTAAATATTGACCATTTGGTCTCATACAGATGATTATCTTAAAAAGCATAGTACTCACAGGTGATGTTTATTTTATGAGTCAGTTAGACATCTGGCTGAAAGGTGACCTTCGGAATTGGCTTCAGTTCCAATATAAAGAGTATCTCAGGATGATAGTCTCATAACTTCCTCTCTACTGGTCCAGTAAATCTGTTCATTTTTTTCAGGAATTTGAGTTTTATTTTACATTTTTCTTCCATTCTATGTAGGACCATCCCTGATCAAAAGGGTCAGTAGTAGTAGTGAGAGATCAAGTTCTTCTGGTCTCGAGATAGAAGAGGCTGTGGTTCCTGAGGGCTAGTAGTCCTGTGGTGGTGGTGGTGTGTCGTGGAGTAGGTTCCAACTCACAGTGACCCTACAAAGGGTTTCCAAAGAGACTATAAATCTTTTTTTTTTTTTT